GCAGGCAGGCACACAAACAAACACACACACATTCACATTCACATTCACATTCCCATTCACATTCAGGGGTTAAAACCGGGGGGGGGGGGGGGGGGGGGTGACAGACAGGACTTCTACCTGTTGAGGAAGATGTCATGACCAGGTGTTTAATACAAAGACAGGAACACAACATCAACACAACGATCATAGCCCTTCGGATCAATAAGGTTCAAATGGTCCGTCAAGCACAGCTGAAGGATGTTTTTTGTGTGAATACACATTATTTTAAACACTATCGGTGCTCGTGTGCGAGAGGAATTCTGCTGCTTTTAAATGATTGTGATGATTGAACTGATGAGGGTGGATTAACTGCAGTGATCTTCATTTGAAAGTAATACAGATGGTCTTTTCTGTAACTATGAGTGACGGCTTGGGGGGGGGGGAATCCCACAGGTGTGTTTTCTGTGTGTGTGTACCTGGATGAGGCTAGCAGCCGGGTTCCTCCTCTTTTCAAAGTGCTTCTGTCGATGCTGCTCCTGAACCTTCAGGGCAAAACCAGAGCCCAGGATTCCCTGAACCAAAAACATGCACACTGTGAATTAGCTCTCTGGAGCTAACAGGACGTTAATTAGCTCACTGGAGCTAGCATGGGAATAATAAGCTCTGGAGATAGCATGGGAATAATTAGCTCTGAAGCTGGGAATAATTATCTCTGGAGCTAGCAGTTAGTGAATTAGCTCTCTGGAGCTAGCAGGAAGTGAATTAGCTCTCTGGAGCTAGCATGGGAATAATTAGCTCTGGAGCTAGCATGGGAATAATTAGCTCTGGAGCTAGCATGAAGTGAATTAGCTCTCTGGATCTAGCATGGAAATAATTAGCTCTGGAGCTAGGATGGGAATAATTAGCTCTGGAGCTAGCAGGAAGTGAATTAGCTCTCTGGATCTAGCATGGAAATAATTAGCTCTGGAGCTAGGATGGGAATAATTAGCTCTGGAGCTAGCATGGGAATAATTAGCTCTGGAGCTAGCATGAAGTGAATTAGCTCTCTGGATCTAGCATGGAAATAATTAGCTCTGGAGCTAGGATGGGAATAATTAGCTCTGGAGCTAGCAGGAAGTGAATTAGCTCTCTGGATCTAGCATGGAAATAATTGGCTCTGGAGCTAGGATGGGAATAATTAGCTCTGGAGCTAGCATGGGAATAATTAGCTCTGGAGCTAGCATGAAGTGAATTAGCTCTCTGGATCTAGCATGGAAATAATTAGCTCTGGAGCTAGGATGGGAATAATTAGCTCTGGAGCTAGCAGGAAGTGAATTAGCTCTCTGGAGCTAGCAGGAAGTGAATTAGCTCTCTGGAGCTAGCATGGGAATAATTAGCTCTGGCGCTAGCAGCACGTGCTTCATGACGTGACTCACCGCTGGCAGAGCAAAGAAGGAGATTCCCAGCAGAGCGAAGCCGGCGGACAGCAAGCGTCCCGTCCACGTCTGCGGGGTTTTGTCCCCGTAGCCGATGGTCGTGAGCGTGATCTGAGAGGTCGGGTTCAACAGGAAAGATGAGATTATAATAAATTCATAAACAAAGAGAACCTTTTGTCACAAATCACTTGGACTGGTTTACTAACCTTGAGTGTCTTCCAAGTTAAAACTGAATTAACTTCAAGTTAAACCTAAACATAGGTTTAGTTGTCTTTAACTTCATTAACGTCAGTAAGAAACTGTAAATGTTAAGAGATGTACACAGTCCACGCTTGTAGCTGCTCGGGTGTGCGTCCGCGTTGTATTTGTGCGTCTTCTCACCGTGCCCCACCACAGGGCGTCGGCGTAGGTGGCGAAGTCCTTGTTGAACTCTTTCTCCACCAGGTAAACCAAGAAGGAGGAGAAGATGAGCACCAGGAAGCCGATGTACCAGGCCGTCACCAGCTCCTGCAGGACGGTTTACATACGACGAGGTCATTTTACAAAAGGCCTCGCTTTGTTCTGGGAAGAAGGATTAACCGTCGCTCCCCGAATGAATCCACACCGTTTAAAGTACATCTGCCAATATGGATCATCCATTGATTTGCAGTTAATATCGGGTCGCTAACACGAGCGCAACACCTTTAGCTTGATATCTTATGATAACGTTTGAGACCCGAGGCTCCGGGAGTCCTACCTTACTATGCGCGTAGACCACGGACCCCAGCAGCTTCCAGGTGCCCCCCCGGCGGTCCATGCGCACCATCCGCAGGATCTGCAGGAAGCGAAGGCTACGCAGCGCCGAGGTGGCGAAGATGTTTCCCTGACTACCGGCCGAAACCACGGCAACCGAGGCGATGAGGACAATGATGTCTTGGGGGAAGAAAAGAATGAGAGCAATTCTTTGACTCAACTTCAGGCTGATGAACAAAGAACGGAGCGGAAAGGATGTAGACATTTAATCATCTCATCTTCTAGCGCTTCCACGGGGTCGGCTCGCAGGTTCAATATATAACAATACATTTGTTATCAACTACAATATGAAGAGGTCTGGTTAGAGAAAACCTCCAGCAGCAGATCCGGAAGATCGTAATGTGACTATAGTGTGATTAAATAGAGTTGTATTAACATCTGCATTTAATCAATGACTAACAAATCAAATGAATTCAGTATGATTTCTGAAACTCTTTTGACAATATTACATTACAATTTGGGTTGTACAGAACTGAACATATATGTGTGAGTGCAAATATAACTAATGTTCTCTCAATTAACTAAATAAAAGTTGCATTTAGAAAAAAAGAAAGTGCTTCAATTAAAAAAAGAAGAAGAAATGACCGGAAGATAAGCTCGAATTTCACCTTTTCTGCTTCACATTTGGACTTTACACTCTCAGCAAATTACAAATAATAAATCTACACATTTCAACAATATATAGAATATATACATCCACTCTCTCCCTTCTTTCTAGTTTTTCCTGCCATGATGTTAAACCTGGTCTTAATGCATCAGGTTCTCGTCCTCACGTTGAGCCTCATGACGGCGTTTCAACGGGTTCTGAGGACATGAGACACTGGTTTAGTGCTGCAGTGGGAAGTATGAACAGAAACCAGTCCGTCCATTGAGGATTAAATGCTCTTCTTTCTTTGTCCTCTTGTCTCTTTTTGCAGAACGTCATTTGTTCCTCATTTCTCTCACTTTCTCCGTCTCACTCGTCTTTTCCTCAAATTTTGCTCCCTTTCTATTTCTTCCCTCCGTCTTTTGCTGCTACCTCTCGTCTCTATTGAGACGATGTCACCGCGCTTGGAAGGCACAGACCCGATTGGTCGAGTGGTACCACGTGGGATGGTTTAACTTTTTTAGCTTTTGGTCCGAATGACGGGTTCTGGGTTTTGGATCCGGTCCGCCCGTTAGTGACCTCTGGTAAATAACACCCCCAATATTGGTAACGCTTGAGTAATCTGGAAAATGTTTGATGTATAGCTTCAAAATAATAATGAAACATAAATTGTGAAATTTTTAACTTCGATTAAACTCTTAGTTTAGAACACACACACACACACACACGCACACAGACACACACGCGCGCACACACAGACCTACCGATGACACAGAAGGGCTTCCTGGCGAAGCGGAGGCGGCCCTGCCAGCCTCGGTAGCGGCAGCAGCAGCCGGCGCTCCATATGCGGATGATGTACTCCAGACCGAACACCACGATCATCACAAACTCCTGCAGACGACCACACACACGCACACAAACCAAAGACCTTTAAATGACCCTTTAAAAAGTCCGCGAAGGGTCGTGCTGGTGTGTTGCTGGGCTCGTCCTTGAAGCTACCGAGCTGCCTGAATGGTCACGTATGAAATAAATGACTCGTCCTGTCATGACGTGTGTGAGTGTGTTTTAACACATTAACGCTGTTCTTTGCCTGTGAGGACATTTAACGAGATGAACACAGCCGGTGTGCAAGAGGTGAACGTAGTCAGGAGGTTTCCTCACAGGTCTCCTCCACTATTTAAGGAACTTCTAGTCCTGTTTACTGCACAGAATCACACCAGCTGTTCCGCATTCGCACTGTTTGTTATGAAGATAAAGAAGCTTTGACTGGAAGAAGAATAATTGCTTTCCTACAAACATCTGAGGCCTGATTAGAAAGTCACAAGACGGAAACAGAAGAGTTTTCTGCTTGATCACATCTGAGGACTTTGAACTTTAATGATCATCACGGTTCCTTGTGGAGAATCAAGAATCAGCATCGCAAAGCAGAGAGGAGCATCTCCCAGTATCACACATCCAGTGACGCTCATTTAATCAGCGTGGGGTAACATGAGAGAGACACTGATTGAACACACTTCCTGTGTGTGTGTGTGTGTGTGTGTGTGTGTGCGTGTGTGTGTGTCCTACCAGGATGAGCAGGCAGTGTGCAGAGAATTCCTGGTGAGCGGGAATGGTTGAAAACACGGAGAGAACCAAACATCCAAACACCAGGATGAAGCTGTGGAGACAAAACGCACACACACACACACACACACACACACACACACACAGGTACATGAATAAAAATCAGCCGTGTGCATTGAGTCTACTCTCCTCACTGAGCTCAGGAGACGCAGCGGAGAATGACGTGATCATTTCTCCCTCGGCCGGGACCAGGAATTAGACCGCACCAATCACTGTTAGCGGGGCAGGCTAAGCTCTGTTCAAAGTTCAGGATTCCTCATGTTGTCACACACTGTGAATGCTGCTGGGTTGTAGGCGTTAGTCTGCGATGGGCTTTACAATGGCCGCCATCTTGGCTTTTATTCTTTTTTTAAACCAGTGGGCAAAAAAAGTGACCATAAATGGGCCGAGGCGGACATAGAGAAGCAGAGACCTGTCAATCAGCGTGTAGCCCCGCCCTAAGGCACGCCCTGCTTTATCTTTATATCTACGAGAATCCCTCCTGACGCCGAACCCAAACCGCCCAGCTGCAGGCGTGAGTCACTGAGCCCTGATAACAGTAGAACATCGGTTTTAATCACAAGGGAGTCCGATCCCAGCGCTCCTCGTGTGCCACCTCGGTTAATGAGCAAACACATATTAACATTCACAGAGCAGCTTCCAGGCAACATATGCGCCGGCCTGCAGAGCTCAGTGCCATCTGTCTGTGAGACGTTTACTGTCTTCTCCCCGCGTTGCTCGTCCGTCTGCATCTCGCTCCGGTTTAACCACAAAACGCTGGGCTGCTCCTCACACGCCGATGTGTGAAGATGAGATGAAACACCAGGACGCGTCAGCAGAAAGGCCTTTAACGGGATGAAAGGGAGGCCGTGCCGCTCCGCTCACACCACACAGAGTGCAGGAGGGAAATCAACGGCGGCCGGATGGGGAGGATGGATCTCACCGAGACGCCACGGCGGTTCACAAACACACGATGGGTCCGTTACAGGATGATAATGTAACGACTCGGCTGTTGTTACTGTTCACACAGTCACAAAGGGTGACAATAATTGAGCATAATCCAAACACACATTTATTCCTAGATGCATTCGTCATAATCAATATACCCACTTCTTCCTGTTTGTTGACTGATGAAATGATTCAGACAATGAAACACGGGATCAATAACTAACTAATAACTAATTGATCGGCCCCTCTGGAATCAGCCTGTCGACGTTGCTCTGCTTTAAAAACACTCTTCTCTATAAAACTATATGTTAACTTAGCAAATCAGTTTTTATTGATTATCATTTACTATTGTGAACGCAGACTCAAGGCGAGGAAACAAAAACAAAACTCTGAAACTAAAGAAGGACGTGGTCACATGACCTCTGAGTTATTTACTTACTGAAGTCAGCAGACGAGGTCTCACCAGGTCTCACGTGTTCCTGAGAACGCTGCTGGAAGTCTGCAGACAGGCTAACTGCTCCCACCTGCTTCCAGTCTTAATGCTAAGCTAAGCTAATCGGCTCCCGGCTCCGAATGCCACAGATCGCCTGACCTCCGATAACAACGAGGACAAAAGCGTCTTACAAAACGTCAAACTATGGCGAATGGAGGTGCTTGTGATGTCTCATCTGAACCGTGCTGGGTGATTCTTCAGGGTTCCGTGTGCAGAATGCGTCTGTAGACCAACACGCTGGCGCAGTGTTGGAGTCGCCAGCAGCCGTTTGGTGATACTCGGTACCTGGAAGCAGCCGAGACGTTATTCTACGGCGCGGCAGCGAGGAACACGGCGTGCTAATCGCCTCCATGAAAGGTCTCCGCTGAGTGCCGCCCCCTCGCCGCCGTCCCCATGTCAGGACCACGTGTGGGAGACGAGACGAGATGCAGGTGTGTGAGAGGGGGAGAGGGGGGAGGCTGATTGCTGATGATCCAACCACATAGAGCCGTGTGCGACGGATCATGACGCCGCAGAATGAGGACAAGACGGAGGATTTAACTTTCACCAAAACACTCATTAGAAGGGTGACATGTGCAGATCAGACCATCACCTGAAAAAGAGAGTTGTGCGTGTTTGCTTTGCCAGCTTAACGGGTGTGTGTCTGTCTGTTGTCATCAGCAACAGAAGTCGTGTTCACTCAACGATCAGCGTGAACCAACGTGGCCTCACAGCTGCAGAGACGTCCAGTCAGACGGAATCAACGAGAGGATTTGATTCATTGATCGGTGACAGCAGAAAGCAGAAGTAACCGGGCAGTGGATAAATAATAGTAACACACACACACACACAGCGCAGGGCGAGGAGTATTTGACGGCACGCGGGTGACGAATCGCCGCTCAGGAGACACCTCTAAGTGGACGGAGATTTAACATCATCAAACAGACGTTGAGCAGAACTAACGGCACCTTTTCACAGCATCATGAGGCTCATGAACGTGTGCAGCGAAAGCACGTCGCACTTGAGAATATGAACAAGTATGTTTATGATAAAGAGGAGGAACACTATGAAAGTGTGCACATGTGTTTATCTGAGAATCGTGCGTGTCTGTGTGTGTCTGTGTGCGTGTCTGTGCAAGGTCAGGTTTTTCCACACGATCCGGTCTGCTGTCATTATCTATTTCCTTCTTTCTTTCCGTGCCAGCCGTCCATACCCTTTCAATCAAGGCCGAGGGAGGCGACGGCGGCGTCGGAGCCAGAGACCAGAAAGAAGAGAAGAAGAGGGAGGGGACGGCGGTGTGGGGGACAGCTCGAGTAAAGAAATGAGAGATGAAGAAGAAGAAGAAGAGCAGCAGCAGAGACCTCCTGGATCCTGTGGATCAATCAGCAGGGTTCCCCGGAGGAAGATGAACACGCAGCTAACGTCAGGACTAAATCGAGAGGAAGAGGAAGAAGAGGGCTGAGAGATCACAGCTAGGCTCCTCCCCTTCGGGTCGCGCTATGAAACCGGCGACTCCCTCTGCTCCCATAGACGTCTATGAGGAAATGACTCTACTTCTCTGTAGTGACCAGCAGGGGGCGACTCCTCTGCTCCCATAGACGTCTATGAGGAAATGACTCTACTTCTCTGTAGTGACCAGCAGGGGGCGACTCCTCTGCTCCCATAGACGTCTATGAGGAAATGACTCTACTTCTCTGTAGTGACCAGCAGGGGGCGACTCCTCTGCTCCCATAGACGTCTATGAGGAAATGACTCTACTTCTCTCTTGATTTATTCCCACAGTAAACTTTGTAAACGTGAGTTTAGGGTCTTTGTTTCTAGTTGAAGTCTTCTTCAGTACAGCATGATGTTCATTTAGAGTCAAACAGACCATAAACCAGGGGATGCTTTAGGGCGGGGCTACATGATTGACAGGTCAACACCAGATACGCCGTCTCTGTGCCCTCCTCAGGCCAAATATGGTCCCTTTCACTGGTCTTAATTCCGTCCAAGACATCAGTCCACGAACCAGTGAGTGGCGTCACCATAACAAGCTCACCGTCTTCTAACCTTCTGGTGTCAACAGAAGGTTTAGTTTGAGCAAAGTGTTGGAACAGACGTCTGCAGTTAACGAGTCGGGAGTGAGAACTTCTTTCTAAATCTTAGAAACACAGCGAACGCGGAGCAGCGGGCCGGGCATCGAACCTTTAAGACATGCCGAGCACGGCCCCCCTCACCAGCACCAGCTGTTCTTATCCCACATCAGAGCCATGCGACCTCAGCAAAGACAGACGGAAAGACAGAGACAGAGAGGAGCCAACTTTCCATGATGTGGGACGCTCTGCGGATGGGCGACGGGTGCAAGAAGACTCGCAAAGCTTTCAGTGTGTGTCTGTGTGTGCGTCCTCACTAACTAGACGCAGGCCGAGACCGCTGAAGACCAGATCATCAGGGTTCATAAGAACACCGGCTCACGTTGCCAGCCAGACTCAGAGGGGGGGTACGGACGCTGCGCCTGAGGGACCCGTTGGTCAGGAATCGATTCTGGCCTTTTGTATCACTGCTGCACCTCTGCAGGCTTTTCCCCTTCAAGGGCTGCTCATTAATGGGGTGCACTTGGTTTATTTCCCCAAATAAGAAGCAAATAAGGGTTTAGTTTTATCAAGTCTGTTTAACAATTTCACCCTTGTGCATTTGAATGCATTCTTTTCTAGTATCTCTAGACCATAAATAGATTTTGACTTCAATAAAACAATTTCCACATAATTTTAATATTTGTCCCGTAGCACCACTCATGGCGTTTGGAGTGTGTGTGCATTTCTACACATAATTGCGGTTACTGTGCAGCTCGTCCAAGCAGCTATCGGTGCGTCGGTCAGTAAAGGTAAAGGTCAGTGAAGGTCAGTACTCCATAAAATGCTCCTAAAGGAGGCCGCTGATGGACGAGTTAGCGTGGAGGCGGAGCTACGATGCTTTCAAAACGGCCCGAAGACAAGAGGACACTTAATGAGGCTGAAAGATGGAGGAAGAGAGAAGTGGATCCAATAAGAGAAAATGAAAAAGGAAGAGGACGATTCTCCAGGTCCAGTCCGGAGGAAATGGGACGCAGTCGGCCTGCAGGCTATAGCAGAAAGCTGCTACACCTCCTCCTCCTCCTCCTCTTCCTCCAGAACAGGCCGAGAGGAGCAGGGAGAGCTCAATGGGTTTGAGAGCCACACAAACAAAACCCGCCTCCCCGTTGGGAGGAAACACAGTCTTACGTCATAAGACACAGATATCCGACAGCTGGTCTAACACGGTGATGAACGGCATTAAGGCCACGATGAGCTTCATCCCATTTCTTCTTCTTTCAGGACTTCAGGCAGCAGACGTTCTTCCTGCTCCGTCCACATTAAACATGAGCGATCTGCTCTCCCACCACACCTGTTTCTCTGGGACCGATTCCAAATTATGGTTTGGAAGAATGAGTGGATTTCATTTTGGCTGCAAATCTGTGGTCCCAGAATGAAACAAGGCATTCTGGGAATGTCGTAATGAGCCGAGCTGTTGGCCTCCGGATAGGATGGATAATCAGCGATGGGGACCAATGAGATCGCTCCACCAGATAAAACCTTTCATCTCTGATTGGAGGGGAAACTGTGGGCAATCTAGTGTGT